AAAAAAAAAAAAAAAAAAAAAAAAGAGGCCCAACTGTGAGCAGTGGCGCATGCCTGTGACCCCAGCACTTCGGGAGGTGGAGGTGGGCAGATCACAAGGTCAGGAGTTGGAGACCAGCCTGGCCAATATAATGAAACCTCGTCCCTAATAAAAATACAAACATATTAGCTGGACGTGGTGGCGGGCGCCTGTAATCTCATCTACTCGGGAGGTTGTTTTCTGACCCAGCACTTTCGGGGGAGGCAGAAGTTGCAGTGAGCCGAGATCAAGATCGCGCCACTGCACTCCAGCCTGAGCCAAGAGCGAAACTCCGTCTCAAAAAAAAAAAGAAAAAAATTAGCCCGGTGTGGTAGTGAACACCTGTAATCTCAGCTACTCAGGAGGCTGGGGCAGGAGAATCGCTTGAAACCAGGAGGCGGAGGTTGCAGTGAGGCGAGATCTCCCCACTGCACTCTAGCCTGGGCAAGACTCCATCTCAAAAAAAAAAAAAAAAAGTAGACACAAAAACGAATGCAGTGCATCATCCTGGACTGAATCCTTAGTAGGGGGGAAAAAAAGCAACAAACAGCCAGGTGTGGTGGCTCATACCTGCAATTCCAGCACTTTGGGAGGCCAAGGACAGATCACAAGATCAGGAGTCTGAGACCAGCCTGACCAACGTGATGAAACCCTGTCTCTCCTAAAAAGACAAAAATTAGCCGGGCGGGCTGGCATGTGCCTGTAATCCCAGCTTCTTGGGAGGCTGACGCAGGAGAATCGCTTGAACCTGGGAGGCGGAGGTTGCAGTGAACCGATTGTGCCACTGTACTCCAGCCTGGGAGACAGAGCGAGACTCTGTCTCGAAAAAATTAAAAAAGCTATAAAGGACATTTGAGTTAAATCTGGACTGTGGGCTAGGCCCTGACTTTGATCATTGTACTGTGTGGTTCCTAAGAGAATGTCCTTGTTTTTAGGAAATAAACAGCAAAGTTTTTAGGTATCTCCAACTTCTCAAACAGGAAAAAAAAAAACAAACAAAAAAACCATCCAGTATGTTTCTATTTATAGAGGAAATGATTCAAAGATGGAGCAAAATGTGGACAGTAGGTGAATTTGGTTTGAGTATTAAACAGGGCCGGGAGCGGTGGCTCGTGCCTGTAATCCCAGCACTTTAGGAGGCGGAGGCGGACGGATCATGAGGTCAAGAGATCGAGACCATCCTGACCAACATGATGAAACCCCGTCTCTATTTAAAAAAAAAAAAAGAGAGAAAGAGTATTAAACAAATGGAGCAATGAAGATATTGGCCCATTTTGGGAACAGCAGTAGGGAGTTTTCCTTGTATTAGTCTTGCAACTTTTCTATAATTTAAAAATCATATCCAAGTATAATTAAAAGATACAAAGAAACTGCACACCTCCCATCATTTTTATTTATTGTAGCAGATAATATACAAATACAAAATTACACATACAATTTACTCTTTTGACACACTCGGGCTCTGTTACCCAGGCTGTCGTGCGGCGGCGCCGTCCGAGCTCACTGCAGCCTCCACCGCCGGGGCTCAGGCGATCCTCCTGCCTCAGCCTCCCGGGTGGCCCAGTTAATTTGTCACTTTTTGTAGACATGGGGTCTCGCTCTGGTGCCCAGGCTGGTCTTGAACTCCTGGCCCGAGTGTTGCTGCCGTCTCGGCCTCCCAAGCCGCTGGGATTACAGGTATTGGCAGCACAGCGGCCACAGTCTCCATGTCGAAGCTTGGCCTTCGCAGGGCGGGCGCCGCGGCTCCGGCCCGTGGTCCCAGCACGGAGGCCCGGGGCCAGAGCG